TTTTTATTGCGATTTCCGCCCCCCCCCGATTTAATTAAACTTATATATAATAAAATATATTAATTAAATAAAAAAAAACTATTGGAGATCATTTTTGACATCAGAAAGTAGCTTTAAATAACTTTATCGAAGTCAAATCTGTGCACTACAACTTTAGAATGATTAATTAAATTTGATTAAAAAAATCGCATTAAAAAACAATTAAGCGTTAATCGCGCGTCATTAAAGGTTGATTAAATCGCGATAAAATTTTTTTGCGCGGGTAAAAATTTTTGAAAAAATTTGAGGACTTAAAAAATATTCCAAAAATCAAAAAACATTTGGGGGGCCGAAAGGACCGCATTTTCTGTAACGCTATGTAACATGCCCGGGTTAACTCGGGTCCGGACGTTAAAGGATTTTAATTAATTAATTAAACATCTTTTGTGCAATTTTAAATATTTATTAATATGACGCATCTTTACACAAGACCAATTTTGAGTTAATTAAAAGAAATTATTATTGTTGGTTTTTTTAAATCTCAAATTTGTCTTTTTGATTTTTATAAATTGACAGAAATTCTAAAATATATTGACACAATTTCAAAATTAATATCAGTGTGCTTGCTGTATTTAGTATTTTTTTTTAATTAAAGAGAAGAACTTTGAAAAATCCCGAAGATAACATTTATGAAAAATTGTATTTCTTTTGACTTCGTTTCATTGACACTTTGGTGACATAATCTACGTAGTTGAACTGTCCCTGTTCGTTAACTTCCATATCTTCTAGAAATTCTATCATTTCTCTCTGGCCGAACATATCTCCCGTGCTCATCATGGCTTCGCGAAGTTCGTCCACATAAACATAACCTGTTCCTCTCGGATCGAAAACGCCAAAATCTCTAATAATATCGACATTGAAATCGGATTCTTTTATCTCCTTTTCTATCATATTACATATCAATTTTGAAAAGTCAGAATTTCCATCAGATGAATCTCTCTTCGTGATTTGGCCGAATTCCTCATCCGAAATGGTTTGGCCGAGACTTATTATAACTGTTCCTAATGATGTCAAAATGGTCCGTAAATGCTGAACAGTTACATTATCGTTTTTTCCTAACTCTAATATCCCGTCATTATGAATACTTAATTGGAATCCCCACAGTTTCCTCGCCATAATTTCCAAAAGTTTTGAAAAGTCAATAAAGATCGGCTCTTCTCGTAAATCCAGATCTTCATTTAATATGTCCTGAAGATCTGTTAAATTTTTCCCCAAAACTTTCGTTATAATACCTATACAAATCATTCTTCTTTTTAATTCTCGAATGTTAGCTGTATTCGACGCATCTACATTGAAATTCGCATCATTTTTTATTTTGATATCATCGTCTAAACAGTTTTCTTTTACGAATATTTTTAAGAGTTTATGCAAATCTACATTTCCGTCGCAGTTAACATCTTCTTGAATGATTTCGTCCATGTCTTCGGTAGATAAAGTTTCTCTCATAATTTTAATCAAGTATCCTAAACAATTGATAACTGATTTTCTAATTTCAGTAGGTTTTATTTCTTTGTCGTTACTGTGTGCTTCTTTTGTTTTCGTCGCCATTTCTCTGTCTCCTAAACTCATATTTAAATCATATTTATCTTCTTTATCTTTCGACCCTAATTTCAAAGTTTGATTGTCATTCTTAATTCTTAGGCTTTCGAAGGTGTCTTCGAAATCAATAGCGTCGTAATATATATCCCCATCTTCATCTGGCATCGGTAATGCACTTTTGAAACGCTGTAATTCTTCACCCGAGCGATCCAAAGACATTTTTTCAACTCAAAATTTAATACTTTAAGAAACGATTTAGATGATAAGAATATTCTTCTATACGAAATAATTCTTAATTCAAACAAAGTAAGCGTTGGCTATTGTTTAAATTCGAGAAAACGTTCGAAATTTAAACGTATATTTGAAAATAATATAAATAATATAATTCACGAATAACATAAATTTTTTAAACCGTGAACAGCATTCATAAATAAAATAAATAAACAAATCTAATAATCTAGACTTTTAGAATATGTAATTAATATTACGAAGAAAATGATAAAACAAATACAGTATTAATAATACAAACGTATTTAAAGGCATGTACCATATTTCTTCAAATTTTTCAAAAATTGTAATTTTTCTCTTACAATTTAAATAAAGATACACTGTTAATAATAAGAATATTAAAAGTACTACAGTGAAATATTGACTTAATGTATGAAATGTATATAATAGAAATGTAAAGATACAAAAGTGCTATTCATCAATTTTTTTATTTTTTATTTTATTTTATTTTTATTATTATTATTTTTTTTGTTACTATACCTAAATATTAAGTTCTTAAGCAGTGTAACAATTTTAATTTTTACAATTTTTTACAATTTTAGATTTAATAAGTCTATTGCATTGGAAGATTGTGTTTTAAAATCACTCAAAATCAGGTTTGATTTTGTATAAGATTGTGTATTTGTTTTTTTATTTTGATTAATGTTCAGACAATTATTACAGACATTTGCTTTCTTTATTGATAATGCAGATTAATTTTAAAACTAATATTAATTGTTTATGTGAGGAATTATTATAAAATGCAACAAGAGAGAGAATATTGCAAAATGCTGGGGATCGAACTAAGTCCCAAATATAACATACGAGTATATCAGTTGTCATTTTTACATTTTAAAACTACTGTATTAATTACACAGTATTATGAATATGAGAGAAAAATCAGTATTACTCTTAATAATCTGATATTGATAATTTTTTTTTTTTTTTTAAATATTTTAAATCTCTCCAATTCCT